TTTTTATTTATTAATAATTTATTTTTAAAATATTAAAATTAATTTATAAATAATTATAATAAATAAAAAGAAAATAGATATTAAAATAAAAAAAATTTCTAAATTTCTTATACATATTATCGTGTAAAATAACGATTTATATTTTATATATTGAAATTGATTTAACTAGATCTCAAAAAAATATTTAAAAAAATAAATAAAAATAAATTATATGAGTTTTCTTTTTCTTGGCAAAGTACATGAAAGAAAAAAACAATACAAATTAAAAGGCAAGAATTAACCAAAGCGGATCTATTTTAGTTTACAGTTTTTGGGATTGTCTTTAGCCGCTTATCTATTTTAATAAATAATTTTCATTTTCTTTTTTAAATTTAATTATAATAATATTTTTAAAAGAAGTTATCAATAATTCAAATAATTTATATCACATTACGATTATTTATGTAAATTTAAAATATAATTTATGTTTAAAAATAATTTTTATTATAATATAAAATATATTTAAAAAAATTTATTATAAACTTATATTATATATAAAATATTAATTTAATGTCATACAATATCGGTATAATTTTTTTTTTTTTTTTTATATTTTGGACGAATCAAAACTTATTATTTGTATAGCTTTTAAGATAACTTTGTAATAGTTAATAAACATACCATAAATAATATTTTATGATTAAATGATTATATAAAATTATTTTATATTGTCAATGTATAACTTTTTTTAAACCTACTTCTACATCCACACAACTTCTACATAAAATCTTCTTAAACGAGATTAAGTTGATTTCACTTGGGACGAATGTAAAGTGCAGAAGAAAGGAAAGTATAATTTAGCCTTGTTTATGCTCTAAGTTAAAATTTTCCGTTTAGAAGGTTAAGCAAAGCTAAGTTTGTTTATAATGAATGAAAACATGTAATAAATCCGAATATTGCCGTTTTAAGCAGAGCACCATGGTGGTGATCCCTGCTCATTTTTCATCGAATCGTCAGTTGTGTATACGTGGGAACATTCGTCACAAGGTGGAGTTAAGACAAATGTGATTAAATATTATATCATATATATGAATATATAAAACAGACATGAAAGTGTGTTAGGCTTGAACTTGAAACACTATTTTCACTCAGTAATGGTGGGTGATTGTGATTGTGATTGTGATCGGCATTTTGGTCACAAAGCAATCACTCCTCCTTTTTGTTATGCATGGGGAACCTTTCTGTTCCTCCTCATAACCCCTCTTGCAAATGCTCACCAACTTTCTTTTGATTACAACTTCACTGATTCTGCTGATGTAAAACAGCTAATCCTGCAAGGAAATTTTTCTGCTTCAAGTAGCGGCATTTACCTCGCAGCTGATCCAAACGGGAATGGGAGTGTTGGGAGAGTCACAAGTCCCCAACTTCTTCATCTTTGGAACAGAAGCTCAAATGAACTTAAAAAATTCACTACCCACTTTTCCTTTACGGTTTTCACAAACCAGCTTCCTGGTGGAGACGGTTTCACCTTCTTCCTAGCAAACCCGAATCTCCCAGATGTGAATGCCACAGATGAGATACAAGGAGGAGGCATTGGCATTGGCCGTGTGGATAACGTTAGACTTAGAGCTCTCCCAAATGAGTATCATTTTGTGGCGGTGGAATTTGACACTTTCTCAAACCATTGGGACCCAGACTACCCGCATGTGGGTGTGAATGTTAACTCTATGGAGTCTGAAATAGTTGAGAAATGGGGGACAGGTGTTTCTTCAAGACTCCCTTATGATTGCAGTATTGAATACAACTCGCAAGATTATTTACTAAACGTTTCTTTCACTGGATACATATTCAGTGGAGAACACGTAAATGTTGTAAGACAGTACCTTGGTTACCACATTGATTTGAGTCATTACTTACAAGAGTGGGTTATTGTAGGTATATCAGCTGCCACGGCAGCTTTGTCTGAGGAACATTGCCTTCTGTCGTGGTCATTTAATAAAAAAACACCAAGTAACGATCATCATAAGAAGAGAAGCGAGTTAATCAACAAAAAGTTGTTGGTGGGAGTAGGAATTGGTTTTGGATGGTGTGTGACTTTGTTTTTGTTGATCTACTTTTTATTGAGGAAGAGGAAGAAAGGAAATGAGAGAGAGGAAGAAGCCACTTCAGAAACCGCTTCTGATTTGAAGATGGATGATGAGTTCCTAATGGGCATTGGACCTAAGAAGATCAGCTACAAGGAATTGGTATCTGCAACAAACAACTTTGAAAAGACACTGAAGCTGGGGCAAGGTGGTTTTGGATGTGTTTATAAAGGTTATTTCAAAGACATGGACTCCTATGCTGCTATGAAGAGGATATCAGTAGATTCAACACAGGGTGTGAAGGAGTACACAACTGAAGTGATGATCATTAGCCAATTGAGGCACAGGAATTTGGTGAAACTCATTGGTTGGTGCCACAAGAAGAATGATCTGTTTTTGATATATGAGTACATGCCAAATGGAAGCTTAGGTTCTTGTCTTTTTGGTGGAGAAAAGTTGTTGTCATGGAAAGTCAGGTACAATGTGGCTCTGGACTTGGCATCAGCATTGCTTTACCTTCAGGAAGAATGGGAAAAATGTGTGATTCATAGGGACATTAAATCAAGCAACATAATGTTGGACTCCAATTTCAATGCTAAGCTTGGGGATTTTGGCCTGGCTAGGCTGGTGGACCATGAGAAAGGGTCACATACCACGGTTATGGAAGGCAGAATTGGTTACCTTGCCCCTGAATATATGACCACAGGCAAGGCTGGAAAGGAATCTGACATATTCAGTTTTGGGGTTGTTTGTTGGGAGTTAGCCACTGGAAGAAAAGCCATTCACCACAAAGACATGGAGGGTCAAGTATCATTAGTTGAGTGGGTGTGGAAGCTTTATGGATTGAGAAATCTCCTTTCAGCAGCAGATCCATACCTATATGGGGAATTTGATGAGCCGCAAATGGAATGCTTACTGGCTGTTGGTCTTTGGTGTGCTAATCCAAATAGCAAAGCAAGACCCTCAATAAAACAAGTGGTTAAGGTGCTTAACTTTGAAGCTCCTTTTCCAAT